ATCTCTTGCTCTCACTTTGGAGTCTCCATCCTGTTGGGCCTCTCTGTCCTGCAAAGGGGAAACACAAAATACACAGACCACACAGGAGCAAATACTCCTGCACATAGTATTGACTAGTCTAACATAAAATCTCATTTCCTTATCAAGATGTCAAAACTTGCATTAACATTACAAAGTAGCACTCTATAGACTACCATTAAACCCCCTAACTTTAAATCTGAACGACCTTTTAGCCAATGGTAAGAATTTGAAACAAATATTTTTATCTGGCTTTCATCAGAAGGTGACAAGTGTGGGTTTAAGGGCAAATCTGTAATTTCTGTGGGAAAAGATTTTAATATCCATGCATGCAACCCAGGGAGGGTTAACACACACTGAGCAGAAAAACACACAAAAACTAAAAGAGCTATCATGTATCCATTGTCAATAAGAAGAAAAGTGTGTTATAAGCAGAAGAATGTACTAGCATCTACATGAAGATATTACTGGATCTGAATAAAGCATCTAATTTAATTAAGTTGTGACAACTTAACCAAAGGTGCAAATGACAGTAAAGTTTACCTCATATCCAGGTTACCTCCTGAAGAGAGTCCTCCTATATTGACGTTAGTCACAAGATTTACAATATAACATGATGAGAAATAACCACTGTATGTCCACACATCCCATTACATTCAGAACACAGAGATATAGTATTATGGGCTTGCTGGATTCGCTTCCCCATCACCCTGTATACTCACCAATGTATTTGTCATAATATTGTCCTTTTATCCCCTATCACAGTGTGAAAATGAAAATCTAGGCAACAGCTATTACATCCTTGCCAGACCCCATTGTAGAACTACAGGGTCCCAATACTAAAACAATCAATTAATTAACCAATTATACAATTAACAAAAACTAATCTACAACCTTTTTGTTAATCAATCAGCCGTTTCCAAAAGCTGAAGCTTCTCTGCTTCCTGTTTCTCAACCATTCACTAGGTTTCTTTAGTTCATATATCGGTACATTAAGTTTATTGTTACTGAGTTAAAGAGTTTGATATCAGGACTTTGAGAGCCTAGTAAAAATGACATGTGACCTTCACACTCTGTAAAGAAAAAACAATCTGGAATCAGTAGTGTCACATTAAGCTGAACCATGCCTAAAAAGAGAAGACAAAAACTAAATTAATCAAAATGTAATTAAAACATCATATAACCATGATCCTGAAATGATCAGTGTCCAAAAACAGGAATGAACACAATAAAACATAAATGCTAACTGAGCTAGTGAGAAGCCACATTTCAACTATTTCAGGTAAATTGTCTTTTAAAAATAATTTTACATAGTCTGGGAGAGTGAAGTCCAGTGTGTACTGTAACAATGATTAATTCAACAATTCATGTTCAACTCCACAATATGTATTTTTTCTTACCATGGTCGGTTCAGGAGCCCCAGCTACTTTACTGTCTTTAACTGTAAGAGGACACCACTTGTCCCTCCTCTGACCAAGCTGTCCATATATTTCACCTGTTCCTTACAGTACAGCAATTTATGCAGTGAAACTTTGTCCCTCTTCAGCTAACGTTGTTAGAAAACCATGAAGCAAACAGTCAAACAGTCATGAAGTCCTGATGACACTTCTCATAGTCCAGTACATCATTTCTTCAATGTACTGGAGGACAGTACATGATATCTTACCTTCCAGTTTCCTCAGGTAATCCTGCTAAATTTATTAAACACGTGAGAACAGTGGCACTCTGAAAGATGCAGAACATAAGTCAATCATATTAAACCACTTGACCTCAGGTGGAACATTCAACAACAGTGCATCTAGAACTTCAGTTTAAATGCACTACAACCTCAATTAAAGATCTAAGAGAATTAACACACTGCTTAAATAATGTAAAAATGTACTACTTAATACTTGCGTTTGTCCACTATCAGTACTGGCAAGATTGAGGTATTACTGCATCAATTTTGCTACATAATCATTGAGCCTATATGTTTTAACCCAATAGTCTGTATTCACCACAGAACATGTGAAGAGCTGTTTCCCTTTTTTCCCTTTTTCTTACAGCTACCCATTACTCTATTATGATAAGAAAAAATTATATTTGAACCTTCTGTTTCTTAAATCAAGTATATGAGTGTACTTTAAACTTAGTTTAAAATATTGAAGAGTGCAGTGAATTTGACAGGAAGTGAGGCCTCTTGACAGATCATCATTAATAAGTTCATTCACATTCTAACTAAATTTATAAAGGTGTTATCCACATCCAGACCAATACACCATGGCCTTGGCTTTTCTCCTTCTTTCTTTGTCCTTTGCCCCCACAGTCATTTGGTTTTGTGCAGTCAGAACCACAATGTCACATTCCAGCCACCAGCTCTTGCAGCTCAGCGGCTAAGAGGCAGTACAGAGAGTAGCTGAATGCGTCCATAAAGGAAAGGAGTTTCTTTAAATTAAACAAAAAAGCTCTTTGGGGTGTTTTCTTTTACCAGCTTATTGACAGGAAGGGCAGAGGGAGCTAGCGATCAGTGGTCCATCACTTGAGGAAGAAGCAAGTTTCTATGTGGGTCCATCGTCACGAGGAGATGGAGGATTGAAAGTGATAGAGACGAGAGGTTTGAGGCTTTTTGCTAGTTCCTGTATTTGGACGTCCAGACGCGAGGCCGAACGCCGGTTCAGGCAGTCCACCTGCTTTGAAATAGTTTCTGATTGTATTAGTTCAGTTCAGATTAAATGGCAGCACTACTGCTATGGACCACAAGCGCCTGCAGAGAGTGGTAAAGACTGCTGAGAAGATCACCAGGACTCCACTGCCCTCTCTGCAGAGCAGAGACAGTTGATACTGTTGACCCTCTGAAAAAGAAGGCAGTGAAACAGAGGAGGCCCCATGGTACAGCTTGCAGCTCCGCTCCCTAAAGCAGGCATCACAAAAACTGGAAAGGAGGTGGCACTCCACTAAGTCAGAAGGGTTTTTCTTAGCCTGGAAAGATAGTTTAATAACATATAAAAAGCCCTTTGTAGTGCCAGAACCACATTTTATTCATCACTGATTGAGGAAAATAAGAACAACCCCAGGTTTCTTTTCAGCACTGTAGCCAGGCTGACAAAGAGCCACAGTGCTGTTGAGCTTAACATTTCCTTAGATCTCAGCAGTAATGACTTCATGAGCTTCTTTACTAATAAAATCACAACTATTAGAGAAAATATTAATCAAATCCTTCCTACAGCTCTCGCAGATGTGAATACATAAGAAAGAGGAACAACTAAATGTTATGACATTGTTCCTCTGAGGATATTTGTGCTTTGACTCCTGCTCTAGATACTCATCAAAAAAATGTAATGAAAATTTTCAGTACACTTTCTTACCACAGTAAAGTCACCCACAGAGTTCCAAGCAGTAGCTCATGTATTCACCTCCATTTCTTCCATTTCCAAGCACTTGCTAGTAACTCTTTTGTATCTCTTGATTAATCTTTTGTAATAACACTTCAACTCTCTCACTCGTCTATGCATGCTGGAATTGTGTTTATCTTTTCAAATGCTAGAGAAATCATTCACTGCTTATCATTCACTCAAACTTCCCTGCCTCAGTGCAGCTCCACTACGAATCAGAGCCTCTTAATGGTGGCATTCTTTTGATGCTGAATTTTAACCAATCGTAATTCTTTGAGGAGCTTTTGTCACATTTGATTAGGAGATTAGGAAAAAACAGAACTGGCAGAAGAAAAAATAAGAAAATCGCCTTTGCAGAGTGTTTACAGATTTTAATTGTGTATGCTGACAGAGGGCAGGGTGTGTGGTCGAGGTCTTCAAGTGCTACTTCACAGTACCACAGGACTGGAGCTCTGATCTGCTCAGATCAGTGCACTAACAATAATCTTTTTTATGCACACAAGTTTTAAAGCTCCTATACTTTTGCAAACTACTAACCAGCACTGAGGTATGATCTCTATTATATCATGTTAAAGGAATTTGAGAGGGCTTGGACAGCATGTTAGAAGGAACAGAACTGTTGAGTTACAATAAAGCATCAAACCACCACTTTTTCCAAAATCATCTAGAGACTGTCTCCAGCCTTCCCATGCCCCAGTGGCACTGGGTCCTGACCTACTGTGTGGTCTGATCAGTTGACCTCAATTTGCACTTAAGAATCATGACAAAAAAAAACAAACAATCAAGGAAAAAAACAAGGGACTTCACCAAAATTCTATGTTGACAAAGAAAAGTGACAATTTCTAAATCTTTTCATTCTGAAATCAATGTACTGCAAAGTTAGCAGGGTGGGATGAGGATGGACAGGGACAGGTCAGCCTGATATGAACTTAAGACTATGATTAGGGAAGTTTGATGACCACAAACACTCATTACATCCCCCAAGGCTCTTATGTTTTTTGTTTTGTGTGTGTGTTTGTTGATCAGCAGGATTATGGACAAACAGCTGGATGGATCATCAGCATATTTCACTAGCAGGGACCCCACCCTCAGGAATGAATGAATGTCATATCATAGGATTGTCACATTATTAGTGGAGCATGTTAGTTGTTTTATTGTTGCTATTTATTATTGTGATTGTTGCATCTGTGATTTTATTATTTGGTCTTTGCTTGCACTTTAACTTGCACTGTGTACAGTTGTAGCTTTTATAATTTCTGCAGATTTCTAAGGTTTTCAGGTCCAAGTATAATAGCTTTGGATCTGTCAGACTTTAGAAGTAAGAAATTAGCGGTCATCCAGGCCTTTATGTCTTTAAGATATGCTTGAAGATTGACCATTTGAGCAGATTCATCTGGGTTCACAGAGTATCATCTGCATAGCAATGGAAATTTATGCTGTGCTTCCTCATAATATTGCCTAAAGGGACATTGTATAAAGTGAAGACAATTGGACCTAACACAGAGCCCTGCGAAACACCATGATTAACTTCAGTCTGTGTGGAAGAGTCATCATTAACATGAACAAACTGGAATATTTCTGATAAATAAGATTTGAACCAACTTAGTGCAGTTCTTTTAATCCCAATAACATTTTCTAGTCTCTGTAGCTGTGTGTAAATGTACGTACTGATTTTGAAAATTTGCAATGTAAAACTTCATTTTGGAGATATATCATTTGACCACATGAGGGTGCTCAGCACATAATGAATGCCTCCCCCTTGTATTATACATCATATTCTATGGTAAGACATAGTGACACTCCAACACATTTTCATAATGTTTCATGTCTATGACTAAAATACTTTCTTGGCTTGGAGCCTGTCTCACTGTCTACAGCATGGATTAAAGCAACTATTTCACTGTATGGTTATTCATAATGCAGCAGCCTTTGTTCTCTGTTTTCATTTATTAAACGACTGGGGAAGACACAAATTATGCAAATAAACAGCCACATATGTATGTAGAATATATTTTGTCTCATTGTATTTCCTGTTTAGCTGCAGTGCCTTGAATAATGTCTCGTATTCTCTGTGTGTCTGATTGCAGCACTTCATTGTGAGGGTCAATCTTCACAGCAGCTTCGTAATCTTGTAGCCCTGAGAAAACACAAGGCACAGCACAAGGTGGACACGGTTACCCGTTTAGACATTCAGTCATCATTCTGAAAAACACACTGCAGTTAAGTTACTCTATGTTCATGTCTGAACACAAGTGAAAAATTTATAGTTAGTGCTTAATTACTGTGTTTGCCATTAAAAACAAAATATAAAATATGTAAGTGTATAGTAAATAGTGCATCAAATCAAGATGACAAACTGTTGTCTGTTCAGACCTTCTGCATAGAGTTGTAGCTGGCAGAAAGCAGATCCTCGGCGGACATGGGCTCTGGCTCTGGCAGCGGCATTGGCAGCAACTGGTGGAGTCAACAAATCAAGTGCCTGGAGAAAAACATGGGCAGATGCTAATTACTACTTTACATAAAATTTAAAAAGAGCTTACAGGTAGGGGATGGCGATTCGTTTCAGAAGCATTTTTGTTACATTTTTTGAATTGTGCTTTTCATCCTGATGGCAGTGAATACATTAAATGCACCGACAACATACAGAAAAACATCCATCATCCATGTCAGCAACAGGTCAGAAAAAAGCCTGACCAATAATTTTACTTGACCCAAGCAAATGGTTGGCTTACCTGCCTGTCAACTGATATTCCGATTTGCGTGTTTAGTGGTTCAAGTTACAAGTTAATATGGATTATGTAATAGAATACCATCAGAGTGGGTAGATTACACACAAGCAGTACATTTATAGCTAGAGTTAAATAGCTTCAACTTTGTGTGAACTGTTCGTGTGCTCACCTTTAAGTTCATGTGAGCCGGACAATGAGCTTATATAATTTGGTCAAGCTGTTTCGTGTTTTTGGGTACTCAGGATGTTTCCTCTTAAAAGTGGAGACAGGAAGCTAAGTTCAGAAATTGATGTAACAGCCAAAGAAAGCTGTGAATAAAAAGAGCTAGAAGGTGTGTTAGCTAGCTACCAGCCAAGGCTAAAGCACTTTAGCCATGAGCCAGAGGTGCCTGCTATGGTTTGGGGCCGCAGATTTGGGCAGGTAACACAGTATTCGAGAAAGTTACAACCAAAAAGAAGTTGGATGCTACAACAATTAAACCAGAATTAACACTGATGTGGCTACTGAACGACAGTGACAGCTGAGAGAACAAAAGGGGGTGAAAAGTGACACCATGGTGGCCATTTTTCTGCTGGACAGGTAATTATTGCTTTTGTTTTGCTTGGGGGGCATTTGTTATTTTCCTGACACCTGTAAGCAGTAGTCAGGCAGTGCACATGTGTGCAGTGTGTGTTCCGTTTTGGAGGAGTGGCTTTGGAGAGAAGATCAAACGAAAGGGTGGTCCTGGGGGCGACTGTGCTTCAGTGGGTAGAGCGGTCATCTCCCAGCTGGAGGGTTGGAGGTTTGCATCATGGTGCCTGCAGTCCACATGTCGAAGTGTCCTTGGGCGAGACACTGAACCCCCAGGTTGTCCCTGATGGTTAGAGCCATCGATGTGAGCTGGTGCCGCAGATGGCTGCCTTGGTTCTGAACCGGAAAAAAATTGCTTGTGTGTAACATACTTGGCCAAATGAAGGTGACAAAGGTGATTTCTTCGGTTATCTACCTTCAAATTCAAGCCTCCTGCCCCAGTGGGGGGCATATCTACTGGCAGACCTAGCTTCCTGTCCCTATCTTTATCTGCATGCATCTTGTCTAAGTAAGCTTCTAGTTGTCTCAGGCACTTTCAGTGTGCCACTTTTCTCTTTATTAAATAGTGCTTTGGTGAATTTATATGGATCCTTATAACAATCTTTTTCCATCTAGCCTTTTTAAGCCTTTTTTCTCTACTTAGATTTGCCAGCCTAGTTTTCAGGTCATTTTGAAACATATTAATGCCCTCTCTCTCACTTTCTGTTGCTTTTCTCCACTGCTTTCTAAGCTGTCTTTGTTTTTGAACAAGTTTATCAATCTCCTGCTGCCTTGACTTTACTATCTATATTGCTGTTTTATTTCTACTCTCACAAACTCCAGACCTTTGCACTCTATATTCATAAATTACATCTATTTTCTCTAGCTTGTTTTCATCTGTCCCTTTTAGTGCTTTGAGAGCATCTACCAGATCTGAATTAACTGTTGCCCATATGCCCCCTCAATAGCCCTAGGCCAATTTACTTTGGATTTTTGCCCTATTGACCATATTCACATGACGGCCATATTTGTTGTCACATGACAATCGGGCTGGGAAAATTATGAAAACGATAATGTCTTACAGCTGTGTTGTAGGCTGTAAGTCATATCATTTCAAGAAAGGGGGTTATGATGGTCATGGCCCTGGGGACAAAGCTATCCCTCAGTCTGGAGGTTCGAGTTCTTATGGACCTGTGCCTCCTTCCTGAGGGCAGAGGCACAAAGAATTTATTACCAGGGTGGGTTGGATCTGCAGCTATGCTGCCAGCCTTTTTCTGGACACGGCTGATATAAACAGAATCCAAATCAAGCAAAGGACTCCCCACAATCCCCACAGCTCTTCTAGCCAGCACCATCCCATCTGGGCCAGCCTCTCTGCAGTACTCCTTTCAGCTCACTGCTAGACTCACGATCCACCTCCAGTGACTCCTCTTCCTAGCACCATTCCAGCCTGTCTGCACATGCTTCCTAAGGACTGGATTTTCACGTCTGACTCCGAGCCATAACATCAACCCCTACGAACTGACTCCACTGCCTGCTGTAACCATCATCAAGATGAAAGATTTTTATTGTCAATTCATTATACAGTGGGAAGAAATAGTATGTGAACCTTTTGGAATTACATGGTTTTCACAAAATGTGATCTGATATTCATCTAAGTCAAGAGTCTTCACAAATATAATGTGCCTAATATAACAACACAAAAAAAATTCTGATCTTTCATGTCTTTATTGAGAACAGCCATAAAAACCTCATAGTACTAGTGGAAAAAGTAGGTGAACCCTTGAGTTAATGACCTCAAAAAAGCTAGTTGGAGTCAGGTGGTAGCATACCTGGAGTCTTGTTAAGAAAATGAGTTTGGAGGTGTGGACTAGAGCTAGTGTGACAGATAAATACCACTCAAACCTTTTGTGTTTGCTCCACACAAGAAGAATATACTCATGTGAGCCATGCCTCGCCAAAGAGAGCTTTCAGAAGATCTATGATCAAGAATTGTTGATTTACATAAAGCTGGAAAGGGTTATAAAGTGATTTCAAAGACTAAAAATTCACCAGTCTACAGTTAGGCAAACGATCTACAAATGGAGACACTTTGGGACTATGGCTACTCTACCAAGAAGTGGGCGCCCCAAATAACCCCAAGAGCACTGAGGTAAATAAACAACCCCGAATGATAGCAAAAGATTTGAAGGCATCATTGGAACTGGATAACATCTATGTTCATGAGTCTACAGTATGTAAAACACTGAACAAGCAGGGTGTCTATGGCAGGACAGAGGAAGCCGCTGCTTACTAAAAAGAACATTGCTGCATGCCTTAAGTTTGCGAAAGAGCACACTGACACTACAGTGGTATTGGCAAAATGTTTTGTGAACTGATGAAACTAATATTGAACTATTTGGAAAGAGCATGCAGCACTACATCTGGCATAAAAAGGGCACTGCATATCATCATGAAAACATCATCCCAACCGTAAAGTATGGTGGAGGAAACATGATTTGGGCCTGCTTTGCTGCATCAGGGTCTGGCCAGCTTGCCATCATTGAGGGGAAGATGAATTCCAAAGTCTATCAAAAAATTCTTCAGGATAATGTGAGAATGTCTGTACATCAGCTGAAACTCTGTAGAAGTTGGGTGATGCAACAGGACAATGACCCAAAACACCGGAGCAAGTCCACAACAGAACAAAATCCCCCTTATGGAGTGGCCAAGTCACAGCCCAGACCTCAACCCAATAAAGATGCTATGGAGTGACTTGAAGAGAGCCATACACGGGAGACATCCAAAGAATTTGATGAAGCTAAAGCAGTTCTGCAGGAAGAAAAACAGGCTAAAATTCCGCCTGAAACATGTGCAGGTCTTATCCACAGCTACAGGAAGCACCTGGTTGAAGTTATTGCTGCCGGGGGTTCACATACTTTTTATTGCCACTATATGTGCAGGACATACAGAAAAATCAAAATACTGTTTCTTTCTCTCCTAATATTGAATGCCCATACCATTTAAGAAACTAAAATAGAATAAACACCGAATAAATACAATGTGATGACTGAATTCAAGTAATAAGGATAAACTAAATGGTACAACCTAACAGGCTATGATGAAACTCAAAGCCATGTGCAAACTGACATTGATACTACAGTGTTGTTTTTGGAAAAAGGATGGATCTCATTTTAAAAAAACTCCATCGTATGAAATTTTACCAGGACCCCGAGGTTGAATTGTTGATTCCCCATGCAAAATTTGGTGTAACTGCACTAGTTGGTGCTATAACCGTTGTTTTTTTCTTCAAATTACATAATTAAAACAGCATTTATATTGAAGTGGGGAAGATGCTAAGCTATGAATAAACACTGTAGAATTTAATGTGATTTACCCAGACAATACTGTATCTAGGAAGTATAATACAAAGGCAGCTTTTAAGTTAATTGCCTAGGACCCTGACAGCTTCTTTATATATAGACTGTTTGACTTTTAGTATTGTGTCAGTGTATACTGCAGAGAGTAAACACTACACCAGCAGATTTCCTTCAGAGATACAGTCAGGGAAAAAATGATTTGAACCCCAGCTGATTTTGTGATTTGGCTCCCAATGTCAGCTCGTTACCTGTATAAAATACACCTGGGAGCCAGAGATCTTGCTGACTGATAGGGGATCAAATACTTATTTCATTCATGAAAATGCAAATTAATGTATAACTTTTTTTGTAATGCATTTTTCTGGATTTTTTTGTTATTGTTGTGTCTCTCACTGTTCACATAAACCTACCATTGAAATTGTAGACTGATCATTTCTTTGTTAGTGGGCAAACTTACAAAATCAGCTGGGGTTCAAATAATTTTTTCCCTGACTGTA